GGCCGAGCAGGCGCATCCCTGCCCTCCCAAGGAGCCATCGCGGCAGCTCGGCCGGCAGCCCCGCGTGCACCAGAGCGCGTCGGACCCTCCTCTCTGCACGTCCGGCGCTTGTGCGGGATCACGAGGAGACGGAGGAGACGGCAACCCACCCTCCCCAAGCAGGGAGAGCCAATTCCCTCTGGGTTAAGCTCGCAGCAGTCTGGGTTCTGCTCCCTCCGTGTCCTGGACCGCGCGGGTCGGGTTTCGCTGCCCTTTGTGGCTTTCGGCCAGGGCGCCTGGGCCAGGTTTCACCTGCAGGGCGTTTTCCATTGCTTGGTGTAAGTGCTTCCCCAGCTCCATGCAGCGCCAGCACCCAGGGGAACCTCTCGCCACGTCCCCCCTCTCCTGCCGCACGCCAGGAGCTGCCCCGGGCACACAGGCAGCATAGGAAATAATGCAAATGTTGCCGTTAGCTGTTTTCCATAGAAACCTCCCAAACATTTCCATAGAAACACTTAGCAAAAGCGCCCGGCTTTTCAGCCCCAAAGCTTGCGAGCGCTCAAAGTCAAGACCATTCAGTAGAAGGTACTTTGTACCTGCAGTCTCGGCATTGACCTCGGTGTCCGTGCAGCAGTTTACGGGACAGAAGCTCTACTTGTCTTGGCATTTGAACCCTTGCCCTGAACAAGCTTGCCCGTAAAATGCTCAAAGGGAAGCAGCAATGGCAAAACACAGATACACACGTAGCCCCCTGCCCTTGGAGAAGACCTTACCGATCAAAGGAAGATGTGGCCAACCCCGCCACCCCCATGGAAGGTCAGTGGCCGCCCAGGCCGGCGGCCGCACACCCGGCCTCCGTGGCACGCTCGGGCTCTTTTTTGTTGTTTAATTTCTCCTTTTTCCTTTAGAAATCGTGCGCGCGATGACACACGTGATAAACCAAGGCATGGCCATGTACTGGGGCACGTCGCGCTGGAGCGCCATGGAGATCATGGTGAGCAGGGCCTGCAGTTTTTCCCCTCGTTTTCCCTCATTTCCCGTGTTTTCCCGCCGGGGCACGGCGCTGGCTCCCGCCCACGGCGCGCTCGCCCCGCAGGAAGCCTACTCGGTGGCCAGGCAGTTCAACATGATCCCGCCCGTG